TGTTTTTGTTTTGTAGAGTGAACAAAAGGTGCCGCAGGCCAAATGAGACCACCAACCAGCACCTTTTATAACACTACCTCGAAACATCTGGTTAAACGTATTTGGAACTTGAAATCAATTAATTAGGCTAGGGGGTTTTCATCACATCACAGTTATTGGTCCCTTCAGGTTTGTTTAACATGTTGAAACCACTGAGACAGGATTTCAAAAGCCTGCACATCCCTGTTCAAATACCACATTTTGTGAGCTTTCTCCTGACTGATGCCAAAATTGTGACGACCGAAATATCTGGAAAACTGCTGGAACCACTGAACTTTATTTCAGGTTAATCAGAGGCACTTTAAACCAGGGGTGTCAGACTCATTTTTGTCATGGGCCACATTGTAGTTACGGTTTGCCTTGGAGGGCTGTTATGAATTTGGGAAACCATATACACGTTTAATCACCTCCACATATTACATGCACAGCGCACAACAACTTGACTGTTATTGTGGATTACATATGACAATTTGGAATTTTGGTCCAGATTTTAGCAAGCATTATGGAATTTGACATGCTTGATTTGCTTTTGCGGGCCACATCTGGCCCCCGGGCCTTGAGTTTGACACCTGTGCTTTAAACGGAGGCAGCAGATGTGTACTGACTTGTATTTCACGTGAGTTTGAATTGTATTGGTTAATTGTGAATGCAGCCACATCACTGGTTAAGAGGGTGTGCACACTTATCCAACCACATCGTCTCATTTGATTATTTCTACTGAAGCATCTGTTATGCAGAATTACTGTAGCTTTACATATACAAACAAAAAATGTCCTTGCCAACACAAATGTCTCACTTAAAAAAAAAAAAGATTAACTGTGCTGAATTGGAGAAATACAAAGCAAACGACTGGATCAATAAAGCGGGACCCTCCGACCCCGTTCAATGGGTGTCCCATTGCATAAGCGAGTGTTGACCCCACTTTGGGCCCAACTTTTGACTGCTTCTCCAAATGATCTCAATGGAAGTTAATGTTTAGCAGGGGCGCACTGCCACTTTTTGCACGTTGCGTGGTTGTGCAAGGGCGGACATTTTAGTTTTATCACATCACTATTCTGGTGATGGACAAAAACTGGAGGTATGGGATTGGCAAGAAATGTTTGATAGGTGCTCCCCTTCCCCCATACAACGATGCAGTCATGGGCACAATCGTAAAGTGTTTGGCTTGATTATCGTATGTCTCTGAGAAATTTTCCTGAACAATTACCTCGTGTAGGGTGTTTTAAAAATGATTCATAGCCCCGATGTGCTGAGAAAACCTTAGAGGCTGACAAGTGTAAATATTGAACCTGTCAATAATTCCAGTCAAAGATCCAACACTGAGTAGGGCTGAGCTACGGATCACCTGACTGTGACATAAAACGATCACTAATCATGTAAGGGTACACACATAGCGATCATTGGGAGAATTTAAGGGCCCTTTCATGGAGGACTCTGATCTGGCTATGCACATACGGAAAATCGGGCCAAATGTAAATATTTTCACACTCTCGGGTCAAAGTCAACTCAGGCCCGATTATCGGATGGCTGGAAAAGATCATCCTGAGTGATTATCCTGTGTTAAGATACGATTGCACATAGCAACGCACAGCATGCCATCGACAAACCCATTTCATAGAGCAATGTGCTACAAAAATTCAAGGACCGAACGTAGATGCATGCCACACCACGACACGCCCTGGAATTCAAAAAATGTTCAATTCAAGAGAGCGGTCGCAGTGACGTCAAAAGGCCCGTCCAATAGGAGAGCGGCTGGCGAAGCGATTTCAAAGTGACCAAAAGACAAAAATATTTTCTGACCATTGTGAATTGTGACACACAGAGGTTCGGTTTACATTTCGCATTTTTGTCTGATGGGCTTAGCGAGTGGCAACGTAAAATGTCCGTCGGTGGCTTCACTTCTCCCGACGGGGAGTCAGCGACATGGTTCGTCCATTCACATATACAGTACGTCCGTGCTCACATGTGAAAGATACATTCAGACCATCGAAAAGTACAAAAGACTAAGCTAGGCTAATTTAGCTTATGTGGTAGCTACGTCAGGGTGGAAAACTCAAACAAGAGTACTCAAGATATCCCAAGTAACTATATACTGTGTAAAAGTAGAATACTGTCGAGATTTTATACTATACTACCCAATCAGCAAAGACATTTGGCCCACATTCGGCGTGAAGCTGACACAGGTGGCCTTGCGTCGGCTATTCACACTACTAAAATTAAGCTATCATAACTATTACATAAAATAACTATTCGCGCATTAAGCAAATATGTTGATTTTCTTCCCCACAGTGTGTGCGGTCAGTCACATTTTAAAACCGAGTGACAATGATTAAAGTCGGTATGTGTGTATTTGACTTCAGAAGAGATAAGGTCTTGCTGGGGATTTTTGAGTAGCGTAATCAAGTGTTGATTTTGTAAGAAACTATCCAAATGAAGCCCATGACTCACCTTCAACCTTTACACTCCCTCCCAGTCCTGAGTAGCATTCCTGTTGAACAGAACAACACATTTTCCTCTGCAGCTGTTGTTCACCAGTTTAGATGTCACACACATTGTTTCGCATTTGCTGACGTGATTGGAATTGAAAAAAAAATGCTGAATCTCAGGACTTACCCTTAACTTTTGCAACTGTCAGGTCGGAATGATGTGCTAGCAGATTGGGTAGAAACAAACTCACACAACATACACACACACACACACACACACACACACACACACACACACACACACATCAAACCTTGAGATAATTGCTCAGAATTATCGTTTTTGAGACATCTGATAATCGGGCCTTTGCTGACTTTGAGCGGAAGGGAGGAAAATTATTAAATTATAGGAATGTGTGTGCCCAGCTGAACATATGATTGTCGTCCCAAGTGGATGGGGGTGGGGAATCATTCTGAACACAAACCTCACTAAGGGATAATTGCTAATAATTTTTTCAAGACATGCAATAATCAACTTTTTGCTAATGTTGATTGGAATTCGGGAAGAAGGCTGAATTACTCTTTAACCCACCTCACACCACACGATAATATTTTGATGAACAGACCTATCCTCATGTGTGTATTCTACATAAAATTTGAAATTGTCATGCCCAAATGTTTTCCCGACAGATTGTGGGGGGTAGGGGGGTCATTCAACACAGACCGCGCCACAGTAGCATCCGATAACAGGAACCTTCTTCAAAAGGTGAGTGGTTTTACTGTATTTGAGTTTAAGTTGGAACTGTATAATTTGAGGTAATCTTAAATCGAAAAGCAGGAACTCCTGTCTGTAAAAATAGTCTCAACATCCTGACCTCACCTCTTTGTTCTGTACAAAAGTCCCAGAACATCATGAACACGCCAAAATAAGGTCAACACCATTATAAGTACTATTTTGTCATGGTTAAACATTTGATTGGAATTGCAGTGCAAACATTCCAGTGTTGAAACACTTAATGGGAGGTCAAAGAAAACCCAAACGTGTTGGGAAACCTATCTCAGGTGAATTCCATTATTTGTTCATGGAGAACAAAGTGGGAAGTGTTACTGGTTACAGTTATCAAAGTGACCATGTGAACCTTTTGCCTCTTTTCTTGAGTGATGTTGACACGGTAAACATGGTCATATGTAACACGGCCTTTCATGAGTCGACTGCGTTAATAATACAAAGTTCGGTTTGGTATCAACATATCTGTTACCATTATCTCCATACACAATGTAACTTTTAGTACACTCTTCGGTCCTTATTTCACTTCTCATAAAAATGAGTTGATGTCATGATTATGAATCATATGGGATTATTATTTTTCATATACATATACGATGAACGACTGGTTAGCACGTTCGCCTCACAGTGCGGAGGTGCAGGTTTCGATTCCGGCTCCGGCCTCCCTGTGTGGCGTTTGCATGTTCTCCCCGTGCCTGCGTGGGTTTTCTCTGGGTAGTCCGGTTTCCTCCCAATTCTAAAAACATGCGTGGCAGGTCAACGGAACACTCTAAATTGTCTTTGAGTGTGAGCGCGGCTGGTTGTTCGTCTACGTGTGCCCTGCGATTGGCTGGCGGCCAGTTCAGGGTGTCCCCAGACCCTCGTTAGGATAAGCGGATTAGAAAATGCAAGAATTGGTTGGATGACTCAAATGTGAATCCTTAGGCAATCCAAGATTTATTTTTGAGGCTGTTGAAATGTTGGAATTCAAATATTTATTAATCTTGCCCGCATTTCTTCTGGCCGCCACTAGGAGCGCCCTACCTTACCAGCACCTGAGGTCAATTAGCCATCAGGTGGGCCACAAAGACATAAAATAGTGAAGAGGAGATTTTGGTTCTCTCTTCTCTGTTCGTCACATAGTGGCAATTGTAACAAGGAAAAAAAAAATTGTTTGTGAGGTGGGGGAAGCAACTGTGGTTTGGTATGTGGCGCTGTTTGTGAAGCGTCCCACGTTGAAAGTAACGGCAATATTTTGTCAGTCACGTTTTTACCTTAAAACGTTGTTTGTGGACTTGAGTTTTTGAAAAACTTTTTCTTCACATCGACTGAATGTGTCCTATTGTATATATTCAAAATATTAAATGCTAGTTCGAAATGTTAAGATAATTAGCAGTCCCACTTGGCTTTGAACTAATGGCTATTTTGACAAGTCTAAATCTAATGTTTCAAGTATAACTAAACATTCTATTGATTAACATTCGCTTCATTTGAATTTCAGTATGAGCTCCCTAATTGTCCCAAAATTGTCAATTCACAAAGCTGACTTTGAGTTTTAAATCGGATTATTTCGGATGAAACTATTCCACCAAATCTCATGTTGCCTACGATTATCAATCTTTCTGTTCTGTTTGCATAAAAAGCGCAGCCCGAAACTTTGCTCCAAAATGTTTATTTTATGTTCCATTAGTCTTTTGTCCTTGTGTCTATTAGGCAAGGTTCACACACGTACCCAAACTGCGCAAACATGATTCATCTGCCCTCCCCTCCCCTCCTCCAAGCCTAGAATGTGGCTATAAAAGGACGCTCTGACTACAGCTCACTCTGCTGACCTGGAGACTGTCCACCATGAAGCATCTCATCTTGTCACTTCTTCGCCCTGCGCTGCTGCTCAGCTATTTGGGTAAATGGCAATATTTTAAACATGAAAACATTTACTCTCCAGCGTTTATCAGCGTCCTCGTATGCTGTCTGATTAAATGCCGTACTACCTAATCTTGATGTCAAGGAAGGTAAATTGCTGCTCAAATGGGCTTTAAAAGACTCTTACCACTACTGTAATGGGTTTTCACTATTAGTGTACAATTTAACTTTTCTAGTACTGTGCTGTACTAGTAACACTATGAGACCCATCTAGTGTATGTAAAGTGTTTGAGCATTTTATCCTTCATCCAGCTCAAGGTTCATATTGGTGCACTGCTATACTACTACATATTATGCATTACTTTGCTTTGTTGTACTGTACATGCTCAACTGTTAATTTTTGCAGTAGCTGTTGTGCTGTCGGCCCCTGCCGAGAATGTGAGATGGTGCGTCAAGTCGGACAAGGAGCACGAGAAGTGTGTGGCGATGGCCAAAAAGGCGCCTGTCTTCACTTGCGTCAAGAGATCCGACTCTTTGGGATGCATCACTGCCATTCACGTGAGTGTTACTTTTCCCAAAATGGATCAGGAAGTTGCCAAGTGGCCAATGTTGCCTTTTAATTTCCATGAATTTTTCAATTTTTTTTCCCTTGGATAGGAGGGTATCGCAGATGCAATCACATTGGATGGAGGAGACATCTACACCGCTGGGCTGGAGAACTACAAACTACATCCCATAATTGCTGAGGACTATGGTGCCAGTAAGTCAGCACTAAGATTTCAAAGACATTGTGGGGAATTGATCAGTGGTGCCTTGACGCAATTCAGTTAGTGACCGAACTTGCACTTGAACATATCACAAAATGTAATTTATGTAGAGTGGCTCAAAGCATATTGTTTTCAAATGACATGAAATCATTGTTGTTCAATCTGTTCAGCATCGGATACCTGCTACTATGCCGTCGCTGTGGTTAAGAAGGGCGGAGCCTTCGGCATCAGAGACCTGAGAGGGAAGAGGTCCTGCCACACTGGCTTGGGAAAATCTGCTGGCTGGAACATCCCAATCGGAACTCTCATTAAGTTGGATGTGCTGAAGTGGGGAGGCATTGAGGATGAAAGTATCGAGTCTGGTGAGTGACATCAATGGCTTGTGATATAGAGTATCAGTTTTTAAAAAAAAATTCTAATTCATTTATTTATTGATTGATTTATTTTTACGCAGCGGTGGGTAACTTTTTCTCCAAGAGCTGTGCCCCTGGAGCAGAAAAGGGTACATCACTGTGTCAAGCCTGCAAGGGAGACTGCTCGCGGTCTCACGACGAACCTTACTATGACTATGGCGGTGCATTCCAGTAAGTAGTCTCCTCCCATTTATCAAATTTAAGTTGTTTAGGGACAGTTAGGAGTGGGAGGGAGTACATGTACAGAGAAAAATAAGGCTCCCAGGATTGACACGGGGAATCCCACTTCATAGTCACATGTTCTATGTTAGAAATTTCAAACGATATTCGCTCAATTCATCAGATCACATGGATCCACTTTTTAATCTGTTGCTAGGTGCCTGGTAGAAGATGCTGGAGATGTAGCGTTTGTGAAGCATCTTACTGTACCAGGTCAGTTCCTTCAATGTTCTCTGCCTTGTATTAAATCATGATTGAAGTTGTAAGCCAAAAAAAAAAAAAAAAGATTCCAATGTAGCATGTATGTGCCCCAAATTGGGAGTCATTTGGGACCCAGAGGTAAGGGTGAAAAATCGGGAAAATTTTGAACAATACTTGAACTGTACTGTATGGTTGTATGTTAGCATTTTGATCAGTACCAGAAAACAAGTTCAAAGGGTATCTGTTTAATTTTAATGACTATTCCCTCCTTTATATAAAAATATTATTAAATATATTATTTCATATATTAAAATATTATCTAAATATATGATATAAAAATAAAGTTTTCTGAATCTGAATCTTTACAGACAACATGAAGGCTGACTACGAGCTGCTGTGCTTGGACAACACCAGAGCACCCATTGACAACTACAAGAATTGCCACCTGGCCAGGGTACCCGCTCACGCTGTGGTCACCCGCAAAGACCCAGACCTGGCAGACTTGATCTGGAATAGCCTCAACTCACTACAGGTAGGAATGGACACCTGGTTTGCAAAATGCTTTTGTGCGGCTTGAATTTGTCAGAAGGCCCATGCGGGTTCAGCCACTGAGCTCTGGAGGTGCACCCAAATCCTGGGCAGGATTCGCTTTTCTCATCTTTATTTATTTTTCAACAGGGTTTTGACCTGTTCTCCTCTCAAGCATATGCACCCGCCAAGAATCTGCTGTTCAAAGACTCTACTGTAAAGCTGGTTAGGTTGCCTGCCAACACAAATTCCTTCCTGTATCTGGGTGCCAGCTACCTGGGCATTGTGCGTTCCCTCAACAAAGGTAACGACAGATGTAGTAATCAAACTCGGGTGAACACTGAAGACAATTTTGCATCATTTCATTTCAGAGGTCATTGCAGCCGGATCAAACGCGATCACATGGTGTGCCGTGAGCCTGTTCGAGACTCGGAAATGTGACAAATGGAGTGTCAACAGCTTGGTGGATGGCGAAAGCAAAATTTTGTGCCAGACTGCCCCTACTGTGGAAGAATGCATGAAGATGATCATGGTGAGAATGTATACATTTAAAGGTCTGTCAAACGTGCTCAGTCGCTTCCCTTGGAAAGTTCAAAAGAAATTTACCCACGTTCACAATGAACACAAAATTGGATGGGCATGTCAAATGATGGGTGGCCCGGTGATCCAGTGGTTAGCGCGTCAACCTCACAGTGCAGATGTCAAATGATGGAAACACATGGGAAAAAATATCTCAGACCATTCAACATTTTGGTTTTAAGCAATTTTCCACTCAATCACACAAACCTGGACTTGGGACAGCAAATCAGTTTCTCCGACAATCATGAAATTGGATAGACCTGTCTATCGTAACAGGTTGTGAAATTTTAAGCACCACGTCTGCGATGAAGATAAGTCAGCTACTTTGGTTTATGCCGCCATTTTGTTGTAATTCTCAGGCTCTTACATGAGGATTTTGGTCAAGTGAAATTTTGACACACCGCTTGAAGTTCAACAGGCAATTCAACCATTTTATTTTCTTCACTGTAGAGCAAAGAAGCAGATGCAATGGCAGTGGATGGAGGAGAGGTGTACACCGCCGGGCAGTGCGGTCTGGTTCCAGCCATGGTGGAGCAGTACGATGAAGGTATCTTAGTTTTTTGTTGTTGTTTTGTTTTGTTTTTTGTGTCATTTTTTTTTCAAAGTAACATTTTATCCTTTGTGTTCTCTCCACAGCCAAGTGCAGCCAATCTGGAGGTAAGTAAATGTATCTAATTTGCTTGGCATCTCAGTTGGGCTCTTGCCTTTGGATAAGTGGGTGCAGCTGGGCCTAGTTGTCAGCCATTGACAAGGGCACTTGGACAAACAAGCATTTGTAATTTCAAAGAACCAAACGGGCATATTTTTTGGAATGTTTAAAAAAAAAAAATCTGACTCACAATTTGTGCATGTATATAGTCTCAGCCTCCTCCTATTATGCTGTTGCTGTGGTGAAGAGGGGTTCTGGGGTGACCTGGGACAACCTGAGGGGGAAGAGGTCCTGCCACACGGGCTTTGGCAGAACCGCCGGCTGGAACATTCCCATGGGGAAAATCCACAAACAGACTGGCGACTGTGACTTCAGTAAGTGTCAATTCTAATTCAAATGTGTACAGTACACAAGTAACTCAAATCGTAACTTTGAATGGTGTGACTTTTCAAACTTTGTCAACACTGTATGAGTCACACCAGGATACTCAGGCTTTTAATTTCATCTGAACTGACCTAAAATGTGAGACTCCACGCGATTTGCAAGTTGAAGTCAAATGTTTTGACTGCTTTGTGACACATAGCACTCCGCACATCAATATGACTGCGAATGCAATTGAGTCGGGTCTGACAGCAGTTTAACGAATTTATATTGGAATGCAAAACTGAACTGTTTTTTCCTCACGTCAGTTTTGGAAATATAGGACACCCGGAATACTTAGAATCTTTGAAAAACCATAAAACAAAATGGAAACATGCAACGGTATGCCTATGGTTATAACATTGAGAGAAAAGGCAGCCCTAATACTCTTGATTTCTACGATGCTAGCTTTCTTTGCTGATCTTGATAGTACTAAACCTACTGGCAGTTGCTCAAACCTCTCACTGCATAAACGGATTACCATATATGTATCTAGTCATAATCCGCCTAATTTTGCCGCTTGCTCAAAATGATCACAATGCATTGTCTTTTTTCCTCAGGCAAGTTCTTCAGTAGCGGCTGTGCCCCCGGATCTCCAGCCGACTCACCGTTCTGCTCTCAGTGTGTAGGCAGTGGCAAAGCTGTGGATGACAAAGCAAAATGCCGAGCCAGTGCAGAGGAGAAGTACTACGGCTATGCTGGGGCCTTTAGGTAAACTCTTAACAGTGCAGCCATGAATAATTCGGCAAAGCATCAGGCTGCCTACTTTCTATCGCCCTTATCTTCAAAGGGGCTCATCCAATCCAGCAGTGGCTGGGGTCTATTTCCGCTGACTTCTGTTGAGAAGCAGTCACTGTTTTGAGTTTTAGGAGATGAAGCAAGGTACATGCATCCTGGATTGGTTGCCTGCCAATTGCAGGGCACATAGGCAAATGAGCTTTCACTGGTCATATGGTCTGTTTAGTCTTCAATTAGTTACTACGCATCTTTTTGGATTGAGGGCAGAAGTCCAGAGTACCTGGAGATAATCGGAGCCCCTTAACTGAGGCAGGAGTACAAACCACTATTACACTGTGCTGCCTTGGAAAATGTGGATAATGCCTTAAAACGTGGAAAGGTGCTGCATTAGAGGATAGAAGATTAATCTTACAAAATTTTCCGCTTTTCAGATGTCTTGTTGAGGGTGCCGGTGATGTGGCCTTCATTAAACACACAATTGTTGCAGAAAACAGCGATGGTAACGTGACACTCAAGGCTTGCCACTAATCACCAGTACCACACCATCACATATTTCTTCTCCATTGCAGGAAACGGTGCAGCATGGGCCGCTAATGTCGTGAGCAGCGACTATGAGTTGATTTGCCCCAACAAGGGTCCAGTGCCAATCTCAGACTTTGAGTCTTGCCACCTGGCAGTCACCCCAGCCCACGCTGTGGTGACACGTCCTGAGAGTCGCAATGCCGTTGTCACCATTCTTCAGGAACAGCAGGTAGGAAGTACTGATTGCCTTGTAATTGTTCTTGCAAGTAGTGCAGAAGGTGAATGAAATTTGACAGCAGAGCTGATTTTTTTTTTTTTCCTTTAACTTGTAGAGCCGGTTCGGCAAAGACGGCAGCGATCCAAATTTTAGGATGTTTGAGTCCGCACCTGAGAAGAATTTACTTTTCAAAGATTCCACCAAGTGTCTCCAGAAGGTGCCAGGTACAAATGATTATAAGAGCTTTTTGGGACCAGATTATGTGGATGCTATGATCTCACTGAGGCAATGCAGTGACTCCACTCCAGGTTTGCATTTTGGTTCTTAAACCTTCAAAATATGTATCAAGTCTGATCTTATAAATGTTTAATTTTACTGTTTTTTTTTCCTTCCACAGATCTGGAGAAACTGTGCACTTCCCACACCTGTCAGCAGACAAACTAGATGGCTCAAACCGCTTTGCAAGAAGGCATACTGATGCCACATTGTCAAATTTCTCATCTCAGCAGCCACTTGGAAATAAACGCATTCTTACGCAAATCATTAGACATCTGACAAAGCTGTTTCAGTAACTCTTGTTTTTCTTACTTTTCAAATAAAGGCCTTTCCAATCCCTTGAATACTCTGAATAATTACCAGAAAGTACTTTGGTGTTGTCAACTTAGTGGTTATTCAGTTTTGCACATTTTACTCACGATTTCTGTAACCTTGCACAATCTACGAAATGCTTAGTGGAATTTTGAGTGGGCTCATACAGTGCGGTGTGTGTGTGTGTGTGTGTGTGTGTGTGTGTGTGTGTGTGTGTGTGTGTGACAATTGTAAAAAAATTAAGATGGCTACTGAACAGATTTCACTTATCACAAGTTCGTTTTGGAACGTAACCCCTGCGATAAATGAGGGATTACGAAAAACATTTCTACTGCCACCTAGTGGCCAAGGCAGACACGTCAGAAAGAGCAGCACGATATGCAATGAATTGAGAAAGTGTGACAAATTGAATTCTGTGGTAATATATTGCTGCCACCACAGAAAAAAGTTGAAAATCACATCAAATGAAATTCACATTTTGTCAAATTTATTGCATTAAAATGTGAAAAATTTCACATTTTTATGTGATAAGTTTAATACAACATTGTTACATAATGTGATAATTTACCCCCTAATGTGAATGGTTCACATTCAGCAAAACAAAATACAGCAAAATACACCTTCTGGTACAAATCAAAATTGCTAGCTACAAAACTATGCTGCTCTTCCATAATACTGTTAAAAAGGCCAAGTATTTAAAAACATTTAAGACATAAAAAGACACAAGTAGTGAAATGGCGTTCTGCCAGTGACCTGTGATACTGAACTTTTTTTTTTTTTTTTTACTGGTGTGGTAGCAATGATTACATATTTTACCGAATGTTCTCAATGATAATATAAAGCGTTATTTTTTCCATTTAAAATGCATATTGGAATTTGTTTAGAGCTTGGACTGGCTTAATGGCATTTTAATGGGTAAAGATGACTTCAGTGTCAAGAAACAAACTAAACTTGCATCTCAAGGCATCAATTTATGATTAAAAAGTGTTTTTTTTTGTTTTGTTTTTTTAACTAATTATTTAATTATTTTTTTATTTCATGAAAAGAAGATGTCATGCAAATAGTACTGTAGAGCAGTGGTCCCCCACGTTTTTTGTGTCAGGACCAGTTGAGACAAGTACGTGATGTTGGCGGATGGGCAACCATTGCTTTTAAATTGACAGTTTTAAAGAACCGGTGCTGACAAAAAAGATAGCTGTAGAGTAATTTAACATTTTATTAAGATGTTTTATTCCTTTAAACCGGTTTTATTCAATAGTACAACTAATGTAGAATAATATAAATAACACAGGAAGAAATTGACTAATCAGGAATAATAAAAACGCCTTATAATGTAAACGTAATAATATTGAAGTTCCATCCAACATCCGGCGTTAGCATCATTGCTACTTGCAAAGGTGACTCATCAAAAGACGACACGATTGATTGTTACTTTCATCCGGTGGCTGCCAGCTAGTTCTGAGTGACTAAATGCTAATGTTTACGTGGGTAGGCTGTGCAAAACTCGCATTTTCGTGCTTTCCATTTCACCACTTCAGTGTTACTTGTTCAACTGATTCAACTGGTTTCTGGTATCTCCTTGCTTTTGACGACATAGCACGCACAACAGCTTCCTCCTCCACGTCGCCAGGGGGGAAATTTCTCTTGTCGAAATCGCTTCATCTTCGGAAGTCATGGCTGCGCGTTTAGCTGTACACCCGGGTCAATTTGATGCTATTACTTTCTGTTTACTGCTTCTTATTTCATTTATTGTGCATTTCAACTTGCAAACCAATGTAAGAAGCGCTGTTTGGGGATAGCTGAAGAGATCTCATACCTTCGTCACGTGACGGAGGCATCATCATCATCATCATCATCATCATCCTCCACCTTGCATTTACCCCGGAAGTGATCCAGGCGGCTAGGTGGCGCACGCTCCCGAGCAGCAGGGAAAGGTGGTACCGGCTTCCTCGGCAAGCAACACTGCGCACTATGGCGTCGCTCTGAGTTCAGTCACACGATAGTTGTGTACATACCTAACCGGCAATCCGTCACCATCGGCGCCTTGATAATGGACCTCCGGTCCAGGGGCTTTTTTCGGGGCCATCGGAATCACGATTAATACGCGTCAAGGACGAAATTGTTTGATTTTTCAGCACTGTCACTGTTGCACGCCCGGGATTTCATCAAGTGACAGGAGTACAGCCGGTTAGCCTGAGCTAGCTCGCTTAGTCACTAGCCAAAGAAGGGCATCTTGGGTTTGTGTCGGACCGGAGGAAAAAAGGCCACCGGAGAGGGACAACATCACGAATTCCACAAAGGACTCGACGAGAGGTCGACTCTCGGGTTGCAATCCAGCCGCGCCTTCACACGTTATCCCGGTAAGAATTCCACTCGAGGTGAAAATGTTCGTCCGAGCTTCATTTTGTCTGTGTAGCTGCTTTGGAACAAGGCCACATGCCGGCTGTCAGCCCGCCGTTGATTTTACGAGCTAAGCCGACGAAACGTTTAAAAATATATACTGATATGAAAATGTTTGAATATGTCGTGTTTATACGAAGTTGTGTAGCCGCTCTCGATGCGTGGATTGCGGGGCAGCTTTGAGCTAATCACGACCACCATTAGCCGCATTACAGCCACGGGGTTCTCCTTGCTAATCTTCAGCTGGTTGCCACCCTTTAGGCTGCACGCCATGTACTTTCGCTCTTTTCCTAAGCCGAAACGACGGTTTCTCGCCACTTTTGACGTGAACGGACTTGTTGTGATTGAGTTACTTGATCGGTATCGTCTTGGAGGACGAAAATGATATTTTTAAATCAAATTGATTTAATGTGCTCATGGTACCGGCCGGGGCCTGTAATGAAATCAACTTGACAAACACAGTTGCGGCGCTAATGCTGAAGGCTAACGTTGACCCACGTTAGTTTTTTTATTCAACATCGACGGTTGAAGCACTATTCCGAAATCCGGCTCATTTTGATGTTGGTTAAAAGCAATATTCGGTGAGTGTTGGCTGCATTTCGGGGTGCACTTTTCGACGAAATGATGCGGGACACCACGACCGGCCACGTAGCATAACCCAAGCAAAATGTCTCTTGACAGTGGGACACGTATCATTAGCCCCGGCTGCTACTCGCACCACCAGTTTTCACCGGAATGTTGGCCTGCTCTCCGAAGTAGCTCCCCCTTTTTTAACCTCAGCGTGGGCTTCCTGCAACTCTCGTTTTGCTCCAGGTACCGAGCAACCGAGTGAAGATTAACCGTGAGTTTCATTGAAAAAAGAGCATGGCGCTAGCTAATGCTAACGTCAGTCGCCGTATTAGCAAGTGATGGCAAGACGATTCGAGATTTAAATTGCAATCTACCTTAAAGTTAAGGTATAATATTTCCTTTTTAAAGGTACACAAACAGGGCGTTGTAATTTTTTTTGGGGGGCTTGGATGTGTTGTTTAATTACAGGCCAGTGACACTGAAAATGAGCTTTGACCTCAGGTGTCAATTTTCTCCAATTCCCCCTCCACCAGACAACTGGTGACATAACAAATTCAACTACAGAGTCCACAAAGTTTCTTTACAATAAAAACGAAAAGTCTTGCATGTGATTGTCAGTGGATGTCAGTTTTTTTAATCATGATCACTGTGTGTGCATTTAAACAAAGTAAACGAGAGGGTGTCCAAGAAGCCTCTTTACAGTCGACAATGTTTTACAAAAGCAGGTGATGAGAGATTAATAATCCAAGTTTTGAATCACTTTGCATGTGCACATAATTTTCCTATTTAATAAATGTATTACAGCACTGAATCGATTAGCTCTTTGATCACATTTGTTTCTATGTACTCAGTGAGGTGACTGCATGTCTGTGGCTTTCTAAATCAAACATTTCCAGACTGGTTGGTGGATTGAAAGAGATGGCCCAATTCCCAGACCACCTTGTTCACCAGATGTAACTCCCTTGACCTTTCTACTGTACATAGCGTTTTAAAGAAACCGTGACAAATTTACGGGAGATTGACATGAAAGAAAAGATCACCAGTGCAATGCCATTCCCTCCATTGAAATGGAGTACTCTCTTGATGTGTTTTGTCTAACTAATGGTGTTGATGATATACAATGCAGAAATCAAGAAGGGGGCAAATACTTTGCCCCCTTCTTGATTTCTGTGTTTGTATAATCACACACGAAGGTTTCAGTTCATCAAATTAATATCGTTTTAAAAATCAATTGCTGTTAAACATTGTATGCCTTTTATTTCGATTTAGATCTGCATTTGTGCATAAATACGTAAGCTACTTTGCTTCTGTTTACATTTGATAATTTTATATAGCAGCACTCTACTGGATGCATTTCTCATTCGATAAGTGTCTGTTGAATGTCAAAGTGAGAAATGGTAAGCGGTCATAGTTTGTCATATATATATATATAATTTATTTATTTTAATAACTGAAAATATATTGTGATACAAAACGGCCAATATCGTAATAGGCTTTTTTTTTCCCCCCACATTGCCCAGCACTACTACCTATTGTCCAGGCTTATGCGCTTGGCTGTGGGTTTTAACAACAGTGGTGAATGGAGTAACTTGGAATAATTTACAAATGTAATTAGGACTCAAGTACTCCTTTTATGGGCCACAAAGGCCATGCAAATTAAAGTGAGACAGACGGGGCGAGAAGTAGGAGGAGGAGGTAGTGGCGTTATCATGAGCGAAAGCGCAGACCACACCCTTGCTTGGCTTCAAACAAGACACTATTTGTACTTTGAAATGATCAATGAAGTGAACATTTTCAACCTAACTGCAATGGTGCAAATTCGTACGAATAATTGTTGTTGTTGTTGTTGTTTTCCCCTGCGCCCCCTCACAAAAGGTTGGCACCACATCGCCACCCTAATGCAGAACCATAAAAGAACGTGAAATGAATAAACCACCGCAGCCTATACAGGGACCCACCTCTGTCCCAAACCCCGCTCCCTCCCCTGGATTGACACAGGTAAGTGACCCCAGCGTGAGTCACTGTTCTTTGGGGGAGACGCAGTCGATTGGTCATGTTGTTGTTTTTCAACCCGCCACGCCCCCAATTTTTTTAGGCTACCTACGGACCTGGGCAGCCTCAGTCTCTTGTTTTCGCCACACCTCCACCCCCTCAGATGAACTCCGCTCCCCAGCCGAGACAGGTAATGGACCATTGCGTGCTGGTTTTGGAATGCATTCAAGTGTTTTTTTTTTTTTTTTTTTTTCCCCCATTTCGGAAATTGGGGAATTCATGGTAACATCCCCGGAATTTATAAACCTTGAGCTTGGCTTTTAATAGAAATCTCAGGAAAGGTTTTTAAGTTTTTAAGCATTTAAAGTGCAACAAAGAGCTTGACGTGGTACAAACTAAGTAAGGTAGTAATGTATCTGTTTGCCTATCGATCCATCCATCAATCACTCAATCTAATCTCAGCCTAAAGTGGCTGCTTTCATGAGTCAGCAGAATACATTTTTGCTTGTGGTTTGAGTCGATTTTTATCTTTTGGAACTGTTTTATTCTGTGCTTTTCATTTCAGAGGAAACACAGAAACCAAACTCAGTGAATTTAAATTAATAGCTGAAAAAAATCGGGGTATTCTAAAACTTTTGACCCATGGCATATATTTGAGCATAATCTTGAGTAAAAACAGCCACACCCTTTCTTTGGACAATTATATTAGCTTTGTGTTGTGAGCCAAAATTTGGGGTTCCAGTAAACTCCTGAGATGCCCAAGTGAAGTGGGAAAAAAAACAACAAATGGAGCAATTGTATGACTCTAATACACTTGCATGTGGGCAAGGAGGGAGATTTATTTTGTCTGCCGATTTAAAAAAAAAAAAAAAAAAAAAAAAAGCTCATATGATACGTTTCCATGAAGTCATCCCCACTCCCATGGAAAGTTTCAAATTTGGAATATTTCCCAAATAGCCCAGCCCAGCTTCCCATTGAAATTTACTGGAAGTTTTCCGGCCCTTTGCAACTCACCTTCTACCCTACTTGAGCTGAACTTGTTTGTGTGTTTTCGTGTGCGCCATTGCTTATTTCTCTGGCCGTGATCTTGACTTCTTTCCTGTGTTCTGCTGTCCTCCCAGTTTGCCGCAGGGCCCCGTACGTTACACCAACAGGTACTAACACCACCCGCACAGTCGCATCCTGCCTCCTCTGTGTCGTCTTAGCGCAGCACATGTTGTCGGCAACGTAGTCTACTCGGGTGGCAATATTAGACCTCCCCGTGGCTCTTCTGTCAATTAACGCAGGAGAGACAACAAAAAGTCTCATTAACCTTTCCAGAGCCTCCCAATCAGGTGTTATTATAATCGATTCTCAATTCACCCCCCGCCCCCCGACATATTTGATACTGTAACTGCAGGAGAAACATCAAAGTTGAGCATTAATTTTGTCCCATTTTTGAGAGATTTTTTGAAAGTGAAAACAGCCATGTCTTAACATTACAACATTTCACCAATAGAACCAACACAAGCTCAGTGCTCTTGATGTTTAAAAATCTAAATTAACATTGTAAGATGAAAATATTACACCACTGAGATAATCACTGTATTCTTTTACTTTGCCATACAAAATCTCACTCACATGACAAGGGGATTGATCTTGGTGGCTTTGTTTGTGCATGGCGTTAATCAAATTGTAGCAGCACAGCTCAGTTTCGAGCATTCTGAACATGACCACGTGATTCTAAATGGGCCGGAGTAGTCATGTACTGAAAGTGTTGAACCAACAGAATGTTTTATTTCCGTTCTGTGAACAAGTCGAGACCATTTCCTGGATCAACTGTTGAAACTTTCACACTCCGGAGTATCCAAACCATCGCAAAACAAAACAGCCACCCCCACCCCACCAGAAAAATGCGAGGCTTGGCCCCCCAGCTCATTTCCATTTGATTGGATCTGTGGAAATCCTGTGACTAAGTGTGATGGCTGCAGTAATTCACTCAAACTGCAAAAAGTGGTCTTAAAAATGAGGAGAAAAAGTCTTGATTTATATATTACTTGATGCAAGCAAAATTGTCTGCCGGTAGAACAGGAAAATTTGACTTGGCAAGACTTCTTCAAACAAGTAAACATAGCTTGCCTGAAACCCTTTCGCCATCACTGGCCTACAGCTTGTGTATTTTTACTCAACAGCAGTAGATCTTTCCCACTACAAGGAAAATATCATGTACGAAAAGCTAAATTAAATTTGAGTTGAGAAACATCTTGTCCCTTCCACAATACCGCCAGAAAGTGTCTAATAACTGTCCATATGAGACGTTTGTCATTGTTCAGTGTAATCGCCCTCATCAGCATGATTGTAAAGTTTGCTGTAGTCTTTAACACGCTGTAGTTGTGTTAGCCCCTCCCCCTTCCGCCTGCACGTGCCTACCGTACTAACTTAAAAATGGATCCCGCTAAACTTGCCAGGATCTCACTCGACTCCGGATCTGTAAAAACTTGCATGCCTACACGCCATTGCCAGGCTTTACCGTACTCCGCCCAAGAGATACACACCTCTGCCTGCCCCCACACCCCACCAAGCCCCTCTCCTCGCTCCCCTTCCCCTCTTCGTCAACGTCTACCACTCACTCGTTCACACTGTCTCCATTTTCACATTGATCTCACTCCCTCTCTTGCCTTCTGCTTGTGTGTTGTGCGGCTGAAGGGTGGATACCGAGCGCTACAGGTAACGCCATTTCTCTCCCTGCAGCCAGTGCTGAAACATCAGTACAGTGAACCCCCGTTAAGGCACGGGGGTGGTATGTTCCAGAACCACCTACAAAAAAGTGAAAATTCGCTATTAGAGTGAGAGTTACCCCTCACATTCGCGCGTACACTTCTCCAAATAAGGAGCAAATTGTGCTTGCTTCCAAGTTTTTTCACGCCTGACTCTGAATTAAGGTTTTCTGTACCACCCACACACAAAAGAAACGAGAATTAAATATTGTAAATTTCAACACCCAACATGTTGAACCAAAGCAGATCATTTTGTAAATCCGCTAGGTTAATTTTAACCTAAAATGAGGCATGCCATCGTTGGGCTAACGGAAATGAGTAAAGTGTTATGTAATTACAAACCAAATAACTGATGGTTTAACATGCAGAGCAGCTCCGCCTACTAACTGAGGCTTCTTCATGACGCTGCTTCTCTTCCACTAGATCTTATTGCTGCCAGGCTGCTACACAGAAGGCATGCAACTTAAACTGACTTGTTTGCATACTGGACATTCCACACAAAATAATGACCGCTTAAAGTGGAAGTCAAGTGCAAAATCTTCTTTGCAATATGTTCTATGTGCACCCACTAGTTTTAACATGACATTCGGTTTGCAAAATACCAATTAAGCAGATTCCTCAATGTCAGGGAGCTGCCATTTTGTCACTGCACTGACGTCAAAATTCCCCCGGGCTTGCATTGCGAATGTCACGTGACACTAAACTTAGAAAACAGGTGAGCAGTGATGTTGTCATAATATGAACAGAATATAGTGCTTATACTAGTAGTGGCACATGGAATATATTTCCGCAAAGAAAATGTTCGGTCTGAATTCCTCTTTAAAAAGCCGCGCTCTGCGATGTAGCAGGGGCATGAGCGATGAACCGTCGTACAACAGGGGACCACTGTACACTGTAAATGTCCCATGTACAATTTGCGGTTGTTGTGATGTATGCCATCCACCTCAGGTCAGGCGTTTGTGTGCGTAACAGGACCCATGTACTCACAGCAAAAAGTCACACGAGTGGACATCCAAGCCGAGCGATTTTATTAATCTTAAATTTTTTTTCCCCTAAAATGTCTTCAGGGTTATTATTCGAACCGTCCGACAATGGCTACCAGCGCGCCGAGGGTCCAAACAAGCAGCGTATCTCGACCTGTTGGACCGCCGCATGTCTACCCGCCGAGCTCCCAGATGATGATGATTCCCCAGCAGCAGCTGTCATTCGCCGGTTCCCCTCAGGGTTACTTCCTCCCCCCTGGACAGGTGCGTTCTCGCAAGCCGTGTATTTGCCACGCAGGTGATTGGATCAGTTCTGTGCGCTACGGTTTTGATGGCTAATCGTGATCAAGGGTCATGACGGTATGAAAGAAGAGGTATCTGGATGAGTATGTATTTATTTAGTGACAACTTCTTGCTGCATATGTTTGACAACGGATACCTGTACATTTCTATACCTTTGTCAAAATATAGACCTATTTGAAATACTTTTTTCTATTTTCTCATAGCAAGTCAGTTATTTTGATAGCGCCAGTTCACAACAAACGTTATCTCAAGACACCTAACATATCGAGCAGGGAAAGAACCATACTCTCCATGTAACATGTTAAACTCTAAATGAACCCAACATGAGTAAGCACTTGGCAACCATGGCAAGGGAAAACTTAAATTCAAGAAAAATCTTTGAGCCAAATCCAGGCTCTGTGAGCTGACCGTCAGTTGCGGCCAGTTGAGTTAAGTTGGAGAGACATGGTAGATGGAGAGCCAAAACAGGAGACAGCGACTGAAGGATGGATGTGAGAACAATAGTCATGACAACAGCCATTGATGAATAATAATAGTGCAAAAAAAAAAAAATACAAAGGTTAAATCAGCTGTAAACAGCAGAAAAACAAGGGCAGAAAGTGACACCAGCTTCTGGCTGATAAAAAAATCTGATTTGGCAAAAAAAAAAAAAAAAAAAAAAAAAAAGTACATAAATAGAAGTTGTATATTTTCAGGTGTCAATAGCTCAAGTTAGGTTTTTTTTTTTCAAACAGTTCACGTCAATAGAACACATTGTTTTGATAGTAGCCTAGTGCTGTTTTTTTTTTAATCTCAGTGCAACCATGATGCAAGTTAATTAGTAGGAAATATAATGTGCACAGAAAAGTTTTCAAAATGCTGTGTATACAGTTACAAGTTCTTGTGGATGTTTCACTTGGTACTTTGTGCTGAAATAAATATGATGAAGCATTATCTAAAAAAAATTGTTTTTTTTTGTAAAATTTTACGTCTGTACTTATGGTATACTTACGTGCAGAGTGTGAGATCTTTTACCACCCCTGGATGTACTTCATCAATGCCAGTTTGAATTCATCAAACTACACATATGAGTTATTAACATTCACACCCACGCCTGCCCAAACAACGTACAAAAACACCTATAAATCTAGGTCGGTCAAAGAGACTATAAAATATGTTGTCTACTCTAAAATGATACCTTAGAAGTGCATCGAACATTAACCACGGAAAATAATTGCTGAGTGGCCAGTGATGTAATGTCAAGCCTGCCCTCATTTCTGTTCGGTAAATCTAAACACTGAATGAACTAGATTAGATTAATGAAAATTCTCGTGTTAAAAAAACACAAACAAAAAACCTAGTGTATTGAATAATACAACTGTGACCCAGCCAGTGTCTCTGTGGTAATGAAAGGTGTTGTTAAAATGCTCTTTTGTTTTCTTGCTTTCCAATGTAGCATGAATGTGACGTTTTTGATTCTTGCCGTATTACAACAGGCGATACCCCAAGAAGATTGTTGAAAGGCTGCATATTGTGGTTTGATTTGCAATACAGTGGAAGCGGTGAAAAACAATGGGTTGCTGAATTGAATTGAACACATTGGTCCTTAATGTATTCAAAGCCCTCAGAAATGTAATTGTCTCTCTGCTGTTTGTCTGCTATTGCAGTACCGGGCCCCATACATGCCACCTACTCAGCAGTATCCTGTGACCAGCGGTACTGCAGGCTTCTATACAGGGACCAGCCCTGCTGAATACTCCGGCTATGGTAAGAGACTGAACCCCACGGAAAAGGGGTGCTCCCTCTCATCCTCACTCATACATCATCTATCATGTTTAAGGAAAGTGTCTAGTCTTGGTCCGCTGCCTATGTAAGCCTCACCCCATCGCTCTCAGGGTCGGCCGCAAATGGGTGTTGTTTGTACGGCTGATCTGTGTGTTGAATGTCTTTAAGGGAGCGGAACACTGGTGCATGCGGTGTGGCTTTTTGTCCTGCTTTGGCCTGTGGTCTTTCTCCCGTCTCAGATCACGCTACCTCACAGGTTCCATGAAATGCTTTGAGACCAGAGATTTGTGTTTGTCCACATGACACGCCATTAAAAAAAACCAACTTAGCCATGTTTGGATTTGGTATGAAATTTCGGTATGAACCCACAATGCAGTGTTACAGATAACCTTAATTTGGCTCGACCTTTGAATGTTTCCGTACGTTTTTCATAATTTTCTCTGCAATGCAAAATTCTCAGCAGATGTGTGATTCATGAATGGACCAATACAGTTCCTGGTTTAATTAGAATTGCTATTTAAACAGTCCTCTTCTAATTTAATACTGTCCACATTTTGACATCATGAGACCAAGACGACACCAACAATTTATCAACAGCCACACGCCACTGAATTTACTTAATAGCAAAGAGCCAAGTGGCCGACATCTTAGTGGCCTTTTCTAATTGTTAAAAAAAAAAAAAAAAAAAACATGGAATGAGAACTTCACTCAAAACACTAAAATCCTCCAGAACAAATACACAAATACATTGGTGAAAAAGGCCTATTTGTTACAAAAGTACATGACTTTTTGTTTGGCCCACACTGCTTTCCTCATGAATACCGCTTCTTTTGTGCAATTTAAGTGCAGTTTTTAGGCCAAGAGACGACTTTTGAAACATTGTACATTTGCATCCACTGTCTTGGAGAACCCCCTCGGAATTTCGGCTCGTATATGCTTTTTGGTGGATATTTTAAACGGAAATTTGTCAGCCAGTCGGAGAAAGGCTTCCGTCAAAAGCAGATGAAAAAAAGGTCCAGGAGATGGGGGAGGGGAATGAAGGTTGACTTTTTTTCCAATTATTATTCAAATTTGAAGGTGGGTTTGACCAAATTTTATAGAGGTGATAGCGCACAAAAACACTCCTCCCCCCAAAAGGCCTTTTTTTTTTTTTTTTTTTAACACCACACAAAAACTTTTGAAATTATTGCTGTTTTGACCTCTGGTTGAAGTGACCATGCCAATCAAGCTCAGCATTTTGACTGACTGTCATTCTTGGAAAATCTTGTCATGTTTCTACTTGGGATCATTCAGTATGTTGCAGACTTAGAAGTGGGAGAAAAAAAAAACCCAACAACAAACACCTCTTGTGAATTTTACAATTCAGCAATACAATGTGCAATGTTTTGTAGTTGTATGATTTACATAACGCAATAGATGACATAAAAGCACCCAAAACATGATTTTGAATAAGTTACAATAAACCTCACTGAAAATACTGTTTCGTAAGGACAATTCATTTCATGGGACCTTTTTAACACCCGGCTTCCTCTGAATCCTCTCAATAACTCATTCTGCATCTGTCTCTTCCTGTCCTCTTTCCTTCCCTCCTTCTTTCCTTCCTTCCTTCCTCCCTCTCCCATCCCTCGCTCCTCCCTCCCTCTCCTCTTGCCGCGTTGGTTCAGAGCCCTCTCTTGCTGCGAGGGAGAGGCGGGGTGGCGGGGGGAGAGGCGGCGGCCGAGAGAACGGCCGTCTCTCTCTCCACGGTGCTCCTCTCACCTCCCAGCGCTACCCCGGTGAGTAGTGCGCGTGCGTGTGTGTCAGCCAGCTTCAGTGGCGCCTCTCGTCTCTACTGTTGTCATTGTTTCACTTTTTAATGGACCTGCATGCACGCTGCCACTGTTCACCAGAAGCGTTGTGTCGTTGAAATACACCCTTAGTTGCAGCTATTGGGCTTTTGGGGGGCAATTCCAGAATGAACCTCAAATTTTGAATGCACTTGGCCAACTTTTCCTACTTTTTGCTGTTCTCGAACAAGGAGATGAATAGCAAAATTGACAACAGGTGTTTGATCCTCCAATCAGCCAATAAATGTCCAACTATGCCAATTTTATGGGTTCTTTGACTCTTCCGGTGTCTCCATTTCTGTTCCAACCTGATGACTGACGCTCAGTGGCGACTGTCCTCTGAGAACCCCCTCTTAGATGGCGAAGGGTGCTTGATCAGTTACCGTGTCTCATGATGCCAAAATGTCAGCAGCATCTTGAAGTGACGTGTTTGAGTGCCAATTCTGAACCAGGACTAGTCCATTCTTGGTTAACTGTTTTACATTTTGCAGTTCAGCTTCCTGTTAAAAAAAGAAAAATCTGAGTAGGTCAAGGGGAAAATACAGAAATACAAACACCACAGGATAATGACAGGATCGTCTTTCAGAGACATCCGATAATGTGGCCTTTGCTGACTTGAGTCTAGCTGCTGAAATTCGGCCAGATTATTTTGGTATGTTGAGTTCCTTACGTAATTGGCTGTCATCCGTTCAACATCACAATCACGGCCGTCATTTCTCAGACAAACTGGGTGCTGACCAAACAAAGATTTGCAATCAGAAAAACGGAACCTTGTTTTCCCAGCAGTTTGCGGCGGGAAAAAAACATTCTTAGAACACCCCTCAGCAGAGGATAATTCCTCAGAATGATATTACGATAATCAGGCCTTTAATCAAATTAGGCCCGATTATTAGCATGCGTGTATCCCGCTGAACATTTACAATTGTCAGCCCCAACTGTTTTCCGTGCAGATCAGGGAGCAAAATTCACTGCTAGATAATCTTTTACAGATATTGATCTTCATGACTTGGCCGACTTTGATCGCAAACAAGGGATGTTGCTCACATTTGGTCCCATTGTCAGTCTGCTCAATCTTATGGAATCCTATTCTCCTGTTTTTACGTATTTCAGTGAGCAATTAACTGCAATTACTTTTTTCCAATGCTCGGGTTAGGTCTTGTTTGGAAAAAAAAAACCTGCACAGTATTCATCATTATTGCCAGAAACATGTATTATGCCCATTTTAAAACTTTTTTTCTTCTTCTTGTCGAATTCCAATTTGCAGCAGGAGCATACTACCCGGCTCAGCCGCCGTACTCTCCATCTGTCCAGCCCGCACAGGTCATTATCAACCCTGCCCAGCAACAGCAACCAGCCCCCCCTCCTCAGCAGCAACCAGCACCGACACAAGGCCCACCAAAGAGGGAACGTAAACCGGTAGTGTGTCACAACAAAAGGGCAGCGGACCTCTTGTCTGAGGTCACTAATTGAATGGAGCGCAAAAGTGTATTTGTTCAATGCGGAACGTTCCCCATTTTACTTCAAAATAGTTTTTTTTTTCTTCATTTTTTCTTTTTTTCTTTTTTTTTTTTTAATTAAACTGGTAGTCAATACCTATTGATCACTTGTGGCACGTTGTCTGCATACCATTGATGGAGGGACATAGAACCCTAACCAATACTTTGCTCTTTCCTAACAACAGATCAGAATACGTGACCCAACCCAGGGCGGACGAGATATCACGGAGGAGATCATGTCTGGCGGAAGGTCTACCACTACACCAACTCCACCACAGGTCAGAATCAAACAAGCTCTGGAACATTTTGTGGTAGCACCACAGAGCTATTTATGAATGTCCAGCATGGGCCAATGGAATGTTGTTGACATTTATGTCTACAGTGCTGTTAAGAATTATTTACCCCAAGACTCTTTTTTTGCACGTAGGGACAGGTAGTTATTTTTTTGCGTGTATGTGTGTCTCTAAATAAATTAAATTGTCTTTGAGAAACTGCATTTTGTATTGCGTTGGGTTTTCTCTGTCTCATTAAAAGTGGTTTGATGAACTGAAATCTTTGTGTGTGATAAATATGCAAAGAACACAGAACTCAGGAAAGGGGGAATACTATTTCACAACACTGTATGTAAACACATCAAAATGGTTGTTAAATGAATTGCTAAAACACTCATACAAGGAGCAAAAGCTACTTTTGTAGTGAGAATGACAAAATACATTTTAAACCGCCTGTTAGATGTTCAGTTTTTACCTGGTAGATTAAAAGTGTGGTTACTATCTTTTGAGCAATTAAATAGTGACCTTGTATGATTGTAGGCCAACGTCACAGAAGCCGGACTCGCACAGACTAACGGTGAAGTCATTCCGCCTGTTGCGGCACTCTCGAGTCGAGGTTCGTGCCTTTTCTCCGTTCTGGATCATAATCAAGCATGCTTGTATTGACTAATCTCTACCTCGCCGCAGATGACATTGTCGAGCATGTTGCCAGTGTTGAGACCCCACCACCTCCTCCCACTACAAATCCTGAGCCCGCGTTGGAAAGCGCACAGGAGGTCGACAACCAAAATGTGCCGGCTGCGCAGGCAGAACCCGTCGCTCCTGATCTGGCTCCTGAGGTGCTGGCCCAAGTGGTGGAGGACCAGCCAGTTCCCGCTCTTCTGCCTGCCGTTACATCAGCCTCCTCCACGGTGGAAGTTGAAATGGACACTAATGTCGCCGACGCAGTAGACGCTCCCGTCTGCCCCTCTCCTTTGACGGCGCAAGAGGAGGAACCACATGCTGCCCCAGCTCCGTGTGAGAACGTGCCGGAAAATCAAGTCGAGGAAGTGCAGCTGGCGGAAGAAACGGAAGAGCCCATGGAGGTCGCAGCAGTTGAGCCTGTTGCTGAACTTGCAGAAGTCGTAGCCCCCGTTGCAACGGAAACAGATGAAATTCCGACAAAGATGGCAACCGAAGCGCCTCCAGTCTCGGTGCAGGAGCCCATTGCTTCTCTGACTCCGAATGCTGCTGCCGAGCCCGAGCCCAAACCCCAGCCCACACCGGCGGAACCAGCAGAGCTTCCTCTCTCCAACGGCCTCCCTCAGGATGTGCAGGAACTCGGTGAGGAAGACATTACACCCTGCGACCAGCCAGATGCTTTTCAATCTCAGGAATCCCCACCTGTGGCTAAAACAGCAGCGTCAGTTGTGGAAGACGTGGATGTGAAGGAGAAGGAGGTGGTGGCGATGAAAGAGAAAAAAGAAGAAGTGGTGAAAGTGGCAAAAAGTGAGGAAATTCCTCCTGTCGCTGTGAACTGTCCTACAGAGGAATCCGCTATGCATGGTAAGCTTGAGTATGATATCATAAGTATACAGTAAACCCTTGTTTATGATTGGGTTACCTTCCAGACCCAGCCGCCCTCAAGAAGTGAATATCTGCGATCTAAAGACCGTCTATGTTCCACATACAGCACATTTGACAGTAAAGTTGTACTTGATACTGGATAAAAGAACATTTAAAATAGTTTTACGCCTCCTGCATACTTGAACACATTTAAACTTACTATAACACTCTTAAACTTCTTAAAACACCTTTTAAAGTATTCTTTGGTGCCCGTTACCACTCCATCGCTCGCACATTTCTCCCAATTAGAGGGAAAGCATGCTTGCTTCAAGCAGTTTGTCATTCCCAGCTGAAGTTTAATGTAAAATTGACACGTAATGTAAAAGGGAATTAAACATTCTGCATTTAAATGCCAGATTGCTCAACCAAGTCATCTGATTTTGCTTATGCAAGTTTTATGTTACGGTCATTGTTGACCTTTTAACAACACAGAGCAGCAACACAAAAACAGAAATTACGACAATCCACTAGGCAGCTATTTTCTTTCCTCTGGAAATGGCAACTATTATTGGACCTCTTTCTCTCCTCTCTCAGCATGTGGTGATACAACATGCTAATACACTGAAGGCAGGCAACTCTAGATTTGACCTTGCGCAAGAATTCAATGTATTTTGTCCCACTGGAGTATCTGTAGACTGTGAATAAAAATCTGCACAGGGAACATCGCATTCTGTGTCAAACACATAACATGTTGCGTCTTCTCTTGAAGCTGCTACGTCTGTGCCAAAGAAGAGGAGGAACATGAAGGAAATCAACAAGAAGGAGGCCATTGGAGACCTCCTCGATGCCTTCACAGAGGTTTGTCTCAGCGGGACCTCGAACAAAAAGATCGCAACAAGCCTCCACAGGCGTCATCAATATTTTTTGGTTGGCTTTGCTTCAAAACACTGCTTAAGACAAACTTTGTGTTCTTGTCTGGTCCTTGTTTTGTTTGCCCCAGGAGCAGGATGCCAAGCCTGCCGCAGAGCCCTCGTCCGCTCAGGCCGACCCTGTCCCTGTTGCTCCAGCTGAACCTCCCGCCGAGGTGGCGGATGAGACCTGGGAGGAGAAGGAGGACAAGCAGAATGCAGAACCAGAATCCAAAGCTGAGTCCACTGACAAGAAATACCAGTACAAAGAAGGTAGGTTGACTGCACTGTTCTGACAAAGGACGGCGTTGTTGCGGAGAGCAATGATTCTTAATTTAAAATGCTCTTCCTCTGGATGGATGGCAGAAGGTTACGTTAACAACCTGTGACCATTAGTACAACATTTAATTGGTTTTGTGGAGAAAGTCCCCGATTTCACATTCTCTAAATTGGAACCCATTATTTCAGCACATATTGTGTGCTTGTTTTGTTTGATGGTGTCAAAACATATGTGCCCTTGGCTCAAAGGTTCAGAGACAATTCATTGATAATGCACCCGCTTGGGGCCATTCTTCATTCCAAAACCAAAGTTTGATTTTGACGCGCCACCCATGGCCATTTGTTCCTCAATGTTTCATTAAAATAACGAAGTATTGTAACGTTCTCGTTCAAGTAATTGCTATCATCTGCCAATGAATGTTTTGTCTCATGGATGGTGCTGTGCGAAATGGAAAAAAAATGTTACATCTTGTTACAATGTATCATCTGCCAATGAATGTTTTGTCTCATGGATGGAAAAAAAATGTTACATCTTGTTACAATATATGTAAGACTAATTTTATATCCCAAAAGCAACGGGTCCCGATTTTGTGTTTTTCCTTAAAATGTTGTGAAATTAATGGAAATTTACTCTAATCCTTTCTGTATTTATCCTAAAAGACACTGCAGTGTATTACTTCAAGCAAGCAAACTGCAAATGCAGTTAAAAAAATACAAAGGTGCCGCAGAGGGAGATTAACCCCTCAATCAGCACAGCTGGAGCTTTACGATGTGTCGAGCGCTATCAATCGGTCTGGCTGGGGGCGGCCGCCATGCAATTTTGACCGTAGGAAAAACCCTGTAATATAGAAAACAATAAATGGAATCAAAAAAATCTCTTTGGAAGCAACTGTTTTCAAGAAATGTACCAAGTTATTGTGTGCATTGTAATGTAATGAACAATGATATCTGCACCCATGGTCCTCTTGCGGTGCTGTCAACAAGCACTTGCCGTACAGATATTTAAAATATGTAAAATCATCTCTATTCTCTTACAAATGGCATAAATCTGCATTGGCAGCATGCTGTATGAAATGGAGTCCTGCTCACAATTCCGCACACTCCTCCAAAAATCATCCGCCCCATTCAAGGTCCTACTCAGGATTCGAGACTCGTACTGTAGTTTCTGCTCTACCAGGCTGTGACCAACTCTCTTGATATACTGCTCCAGTTTTTTTTTTTTTGCACTGCTATGTCTGTGGCCACAAGTCACGGAACGCATATATTGCACTTGAATCTCCCCTTCGTTCCAATAAATCTGTCTTCATTCATCACCCAGAGCAATGGAAGCCAATAAACCCAGAGGAGAAAAAACGCTACGACCGAAAGTTCCTGCTGGGCTTCCAGTTCATTAGTGCCAGCATGAACAAACCTGAAGGCCTGCCTGTCATCAGTGATGTGGTTCTGGACAAGGTGGGTGCATTCCAGTTCATTCTAGTCTGGACAGGATGACTTTTTTTAATGCCTAAACAAGTTGCACCACAAATCAACAAGCTGACCCACAATTATTTAGTTCGTCAGATTTGCTTTAATTTAACTCTGTGAGAGGATTAAAGTTTGCCAAGTACACGGAACCTAACTTGCCTTACATTGCAGTATACACGCCACAGCAAGCGCTTTTAAAATGTGCAACTTGAGATTTTCAACCCTTTTTTTTAATATATAAAAAGATTTCCAAGTGACTCTAATAATTCCTATTACGAACTGAATTTCATTCAGGAAGGGAAACATTATTTTTTGTTCTATTTCAGGTCAACAAGACGCCGTTGCGGCCTGCAGACCCAGTTCGAATGCAGGATTTTGGGCCAGATTTCACCCCTTCGTATTTGGGTAACCTGGGCAGTAGATCAGTTGGAGGACCACGTGGACCAGTAAGTTTTTTTTGTTGTTGTTTGCCCCCCCCCTCCACACACACACATTTTGTTAGCACTTTCAAAAGAGGCTAATTCATGGAAAAATAAAACTGCTCCTTTTCCTTTTAGCCCCCCGGGCCACGGCGTTCCCAGCAGGGTCAGCGGAAGGAGCCGCGTAAAATCATCACGAGCATGTCGCTTAACGACGACGTGCAGCTAAACAAGGCCGAGAAAGCCTGGAAGCCCTCGGCTAAAAAGGGCACGCGTGGCCGTGGCGAGGAGGAGGTCACAGTGGCGACTGACGAAGACCTAACCCCCGAGCAAGCCCAAACGCAAGAGATCTTGAAGCGACTGCGCAGTATCCTAAACAAGCTGACTCCGCAGAAATTCCAGGAGCTGATGAATCAGGTGAAGGAGCTGACCATAGACTCAGAGGAGAGGTTGAAGGGCGCCATCGACCTCATTTTTGAGAAAGCCATCTTGGAGCCCAGCTTCTCCGTGGCCTATGCCAACATGTGCCGTTGCCTTTCGGGGGTAAGTGACGGTCGTGTTCTGTGCTTCTCGCATTCATTTGCTCCACTGATGACGTCACTTTTAAGCTTTGAATGTTGTCTCATCTAGTCACTGAAAAACTCAAGTTTTCTTGGTTTTGACGGTGTAAGAGAGTGCCAAAGCCCTAAATGTAATAACTTACAATTTTTTTTTCATTTTTAAAAAAAATCTAGAATGCAAGTAAACATTACTAGATGATTTTTAATAACAAATATATGTAGTATAGCAATATATTTAGTAATGTTTATGAATCAAGGGTTAGGCTCAGCAACAGGGAGTTTTTTTTCCCCCTGAAACGTCATAGCTATGTATCACAACTCATGTTAAAATCCTTTTTTGCGCAAGCTTATACGTCAAACTTAAAAACAAAAAATGACTTTTTGTATCTGTGTGTCAAAATACATTTAGGGACACAAAGCCAAGTCACTTTTGTCAGGCCTCCAAAAATGTACGCGGTACTGTGACTGCCTGACATTTGAAATTGAATGAAACGTTACTAGTGGTGACCATCAAAGAATGGGTAGATGTGTGAATATGGGTTGTATTGCTGTATTTTCTATTTATGTATTCATTTTCATCACAGGAAGTTCTTCAATATTTTATTCTCACTGCCTGAAATTCCACTTGTGTTCAGTTGAAAGTCCCCACCTCGGACAAACCAGGATACATTGTGACCTTCCGCAAACTGTTGCTCAACCGCTGCCAGAAAGAGTTTGAGAAGGACCAGGATGACGATGAGTTCCTGGACAAAAAGCAAAAGGAGATGGAGGCCGCCAAAGATGTAAGAAATCACGTCTGCCGCTGTATCGCCCACTTTCGTACTCCTATTTTGACACGCTTCAATGTCGTACCCGCAGGACGAAGAGCGCGAGCGCATGCGTGTCGAGCTGGAGGAGGCCCGAGACAAGGCCAGACGCCGCTCGCTGGGTAACATCAAGTTCATCGGGGAACTCTTCAAGCTCAAGATGCTAACGGAGGCCATCATGCACGACTGTGTGGTCAAACTACTGAAGAATCATGACGAAGAGTCTCTGGAGTGTCTCTGCAGGCTGCTCTCCACCATTGGCAAGGACCTGGACTTTGAGAAAGCCAAGGTTTTCAAGCAACACACACACACACACACACACACAGCTTGATACTGATATTTACGTAAATCAATCGAAAAGTTGGTCAGTTGATTTATGGAGTAATTTTCAAACAGTAAAATGCACTTAATTATTCGGTGGGGGGAAAAAATTACATGTAAATAAGATTTTTTTTGTAAATTTTGTTAATGAAGTATGAAGTAAACTTGGCTGACCGTCTTTTGCGAAATACCGATGGCAACAACTTTTTCAAGCATACGTTGGTTTGTTTTTTCAACCCAACCCACCCAGTTTCACAGTCAGACCCATAGCAATGCGCCTTAACAACGAAAATGCAAGTGTTATCGAGTTATTCTGCGAAATGCCTCGTCACATTCAGACAAACAGTTGTTTGAGTGGCCAAAAGAAAAGAATAGGGCTCATACATAAATGGACCAGAAAATTGGAACTGATGCAGTTTCATTCTCGCAAAGCGAATAAATTCCACGGCGGTGTCGACAAGCATTCTTTCTTACAAAGAAGACCCCTGTTTTCTCAATCAGATTTGCAAAAACAAGTAGGTGTGATAATCAATGAATAACTCTGGTTATTGTATCATTCGATTCAAAGTATTTCACATGTACATGGATGGAATCCTGTATGAAAACATTCAAATTATATGAGTGCATTGATGGAGTCCTCTGTTACGGTTTTACAACTAACAATGCTGGCGATATAATCTTCGAAATGACCGACCACACAATAGAACTGTTTTTCATGCAATTTTATAAATAATTAAGGAAAATACCATTTAAAATTACAATGACATGTTCTTGTGAAGATAAAATTAAACAAATGATTCAATCAAAATTAGTGCAAAAAATATTACAATTACAATGAGTGTAAATTCATTATAAATCCTGTTTTATAAATTAGAAATGAGAATACAATGTTTCTTTTGTTTTTTTAGTAACGTATAGTACATGACTTACTTTTTTATGAAACGTGTTCATTTTCAAAAATACACTTCAAAAAAGGAATTGTTTTTCAAAAATAGTTTACACACCCACACTCAGGTTATTTTTATTTTTTACCATTTCGACGACTGGCCTGGCCCATCTGTTTGTTTTAAAGATAAAATGCGGTCCTTGAGCACAGACGTTTGGTCTCTCCCCAGTTCAACCATTTCATATTTGAACGGAATGTGTATTAACTGTCAACAGGAGACTGTCGATGAGCCATGAGATTGTGCACCCTTTTTCATGAACTGTTGGGATCCGTGACTGACTTTTTTTTTTTCTTCTTTCCCATCCAACTCAGCCCCGTATGGATCAGTATTTCAATCAAATGGAAAAGATCATCAAGGAGAGAAAAACATCATCCCGAATCCGCTTCATGCTGCAAGATGTCTTGGATCTCAGACGGGTAAATGTTAAATTTGCTGGAGAGGCATTCATCTATATTGGAGAACGCATCACTTGCAAACCAGAACCCAGGTGTAGGAATTCCTTTGTGGGT